AAGTCAACTTATGATAGTATAGTAATCTTGTTGTCGACTAACGATGGTATGATAAACATATAGAGGACTAATGATAGCATGAAAAACTAGCAGTCGACATATGATAGCATAATAAAAGTACAGACGGCTTATTTAAGTATGATAAAGTTGCAGTCGACATTGATAGCATAATAAACTAGCAGACGACTTATGATAGTATGATAAACTTTCAGTCGACTTATGAAAGTATGATAAAGTTGCAGTCGACTAATGATAGTATGATAAACTTGCAGTCGACTTATTAAAGTATGATAAACTTGCAGTCGACTTATGAAAGTATAATAAAGTTGCAGTCGACTAATGATAGTATGGTAAACTTGCAGTCGACTAATGATAGTATTATAAACTTGCAGTCGACTTATGAAAGTATAATAAAGTTGCAGTCGACTAATGATAGCATGGTAAACTTGCAGACAAGTAATAAAAGTATGATAAACTTTAAGTCGCCTTATGATAGTATGATAAAGTTGCAGTCAACTTATGATAGCATGGTAAACTTGCAGACAAGTAATAAAAGTAAACTTGCTTGCAGTCGACTTATGATAGTGTGATAAACTTTCAGTTGATCAGTTGACTTATGATAGTATGATAAAGTTGCAGTCGACTTATGATATTATAATAAACATGTAGTCGACTTATGATAGTATAGTTAACTTGCAGTCATCTTGATATGGTTATATCATGCACAGTTGCAGTCCACAGATGATAACATTTTATAAACGTAATGTCGACAAATGATATAATTATATTAGCTTACTCCAGACAACTGATTGGGACATATAAGGTTATACTAACCCAAATGATTGTACAGAGACGCTTAACAAGTTTACATAACACTGTGTTAGATAAAACAGGCATGTTACAGATATTTATTTTGTTGAAATTGAGCACTTTTAAATAATTGCCGTCTTTAAAAAGAAACCACGTAATTAGGCCGATATTAAGTACTCTACATTTAAGCGTCATTCAACCTTGAAACCTAATCAACACTTATTGAGGAGGAGGAGTAGCAGGTCCACAATGCACAGTAACCATATTTTTAGTGTTACAGTCTTCCGCGTAAAGCCAACCTTTATTCCGACAATAGATTATGTGAGACTCATCTCCGCTGCATTTGATACGATTGGTTTTGAGCACTTTATAACCATCTGACGTCGCACAATCAATACCCCTGCACGTTTTGGTAACTCTGAAATGACAAAAGAAACCTACAAAACATTTGACAAGACGTTAGTAGCTTAATTAATTTTATGGTGAAGCTTATCATAAAGCTATGTTATTACAGTAAAATGACACCGTGACGGATTACCGGATCACAACAGTAAACCAGTTCGAATAGAGCACTATTTAGCCACAGCTTCGTTCCTGGGCAGTTTACTAGTATTTGTGTCTTCACTTCCGCAAGAAACTGATAACTTCTGTACATGGCATATCAGGGCAGCGGTACATAGCAAATGACATTAGAAAGGTTTCAAGATCAATCACAACGAAAGCGACTTGCACTATACGGGAATCGAACCCAGATCCAAACGTTCTACCAATTTAACTTACGGATGGTAGAGGACTGATAATGTTATGGGGCTCCTTGCCTTTTTTTACATCGACACAGTTCATGATCCGTTTATATGGTGATATTTTCTTTCATTAACAAGTAAATGATTTTTACGGTGATATTCTATTTTGAAATAACGGCGGAGAACCGGTATGTCACCTACGCACATCTCGTATGTAATATGCATCCGAGGAGATGATAAATTAGCCAAGTTTATTTACATTTTTGTTTAAAAGTTTACACTACTTTTAAACTACCTACGAATGTATTCGATATATTTTAAAACCGTATTCTGTTGTCATCATATTTAGTACAAAAACCTGTGTTTCCATTATAATCAACCACACCTATCGATTATCAGAAACGAAATAATGAACAACTCATTGACAATTGCGAGGACGTGAATGTACCTACTACCTGCAGTTATGTCATACAGTTCTTCCATAAAAACATTGAAAGCATATAGTTTAGTCCTCTGCAATCACTGATGGTCTTGTTGCGATGACTGAATACTGATTTCCTTTGCTAAAAGAAAACCTTGCGTCTCAGTCACCATTGCAGATCACAAAAATATCCAAACATATCCAAACATGTAGTAATTTTCACTTTATGGATTTTAACAGTAGTTGACGATTCAGCTAAAGTGAGCTTGATATCAAAAACCTACTAAAATATATGGGTATATACAGAGGACATTTTTTTATAAACTATACTTACACCCAGTTTTGATTTAGAGTACGGCATCCAACATTTGATTCATTTTCACTCCAACTATAATCACAGGCAATGATATATTCACCATCGATTATCTTCAACACATCACGGTAGTAATGGTTTAAGTAATACTCAAAACCTGTAACACATTGAAATCTTTATATAACTTCCGTGTGCTTGTACCTTGAGCATATTCAATTTCAATATTTTGGGTGATGTCAATATGATTCATTTAGATACATCTACATAGATTTTTTTCCATTATTCAATATTTCATCGTGACATAGCACAACAGCACAAAATAAAAAAGAAATGTGTCCATAATACAAGGTGCCCCCACACTCCACTGTCTTGTCAAATAAATGATTTCTGGTCGTTTAAATACGTTTTGAGCTACGAGCGATAAAAGCTGAAAATTGTATTTTTTACTAAGCCAAATGCAATAACTACAGATACTGAAAAAAATCAAAAGCAACACATGCTGACTAACATTCCTGTAAAGTTGCATGACTCAATGTCAAATATGTTTGACCTACTTTTTACTAAATCTGACAAAACAGAACTAATCGACAAGCGAAAGGCAAGGTGCACGACTTCACATGCTGACAAATATTTCTGTAAATTTTGTTGAGCTACATAATTATGACACAACACGAAAACCCACGGACAGACGGACGGATGGACAAGGGAAATCTAAATTCCCATCCCCATAGTGAGGGAAAAAAATTACTAAAATCATAACAAAATATGAAATTTGATATAGTTTTAAAAATGGTATAATTTGAAACTATGTCATTACACATTAATGTCAAGCATAAAAAATAATATTCCCGTCATGGTCCTTTCGTTGTGGATATCCTACCATTGATAATGGTTTTGTATGTATAAATAAGGTGTAAATATTTGGGTATGAAACGTAAGACGGTTTATAAATTTGGAGAAGGCGTTTGATTCTGTAAATAGATCTAAGCTTAGTTTTTCATTATCCAAACATTGTTTTAAAGGTAAATTACTTCTAGCTATACAGAGTATACATGTATCTAAGTCAGTAAAAGCACGTGTCAACAGTAGTAATAATAATTTCACTGATTGCTTTAAATGTCCTATAGGTTTAAGACAAAGATGTAAGCTCAATCCAATTTTGTTTTGCTTTTTTAATGATTTGGAGTTCTTTCTGAGACAAAATGCTACTCATGGTGTGCAGTTATCACATTGAGATATTTAAATTTTTCTTTTAATGTTTGCAGATTACGTTGGCTTGATTTCAGATTACAAAATCAGCTTAAAATAATGTTTTGAATGGAAACTTAATGTAAATGTTGAAAAATAAATTATTGTCTTTAAAAACGGAGGTTAACAATCAAAACAATGGTTTAATAATGATAACCTTATTGAAACAGTAAATGCTTTTACCTATGTGAGCTTAAATTTCACTAGTAAATTATAGTTGTTTAAAATGTCTGAAGATTTAGCTACAAAAGCAAAACAGTATTGTTTATACTTTAAACAAATATGTTCAATCTTTTACCAATGTCAGATAAATCTTTCGAAAATATGGCATGGTTTGCTTTATGGGTCAGAAATGTGGGTACTTGAAGTTACGGATTGTATAGAACGTGTTCAAGTTATGCATGTAAGACATTTATGAATATTTCTTTAAAGTTATGTCAGTTGTCATGGGAGATTGTGGACGATACACAATATATATATAAGAAAGATGTTTTAAATTTTCGATACGGATTTTTATATGGATAATGAGAGATGTGTTAAAAATGTTATTTCATGCTTAAACGGTTAGATAAACTAGGTTATAAAAATTGGGTGACAATTCTACTATTAAATCTCTATAAGAATGGTTTTTGCTATATTTGGGAACAACAAAGGGTTGAAGATGCAAACTTATTCCTTACCCTTTATGTAAATAGATTAAAAGATCAACACATGCAGAATTGGAACAGTGACTGTTTAGAAAACAGAAAGCTAGTATTTTATAGAAATTTCAAAAATAAAATATTGATTTTGAAAAATATCTGGACTGTATAGATATATTGAAATTTAGGAGTAGTCTTGCTGCTTTTAGGTCCTCTTCTCATCAATTGATGATAGAGAAAGGAAGACATATTGATATTCCTAGGGAAATCCGTTTATCTTATACACTGTCGGTATGAAATTGAATGTGAATTTCATTTTCTATTAAAATGTCCTTTATATGATAATTTACGTCAACAATTTATACCAAATAAGTATTGGGAACATCCAAATAATCATAAATTTAACTTATAAATGTCATGCAAAAGTGTTAAGACAATACGAAACTTATCAATGTTTTAATATTATGCATTTAAACTGCGTATGAATTTATATCTTAAACGTCTTTATGTTGGTTGCTGAATTTTATTAATATGCAATTAAATGTTTTATGAAAATGCTGCTATGACAATATGCCATTGTACTTTATACAACTTTATGTAAACATGTATATTTTGTGATGCAATTTTACCCTAACAAGCTGCTATAACATTATGCTATTGTGTTTATATATATTTTATGTATTCATGTGTGTGGGCCCATGGCCTGAATGCAAATTTGAAATAAACTATATGCATTTGATGATCTTACATACAGAGGCATGGAATCATGAAACATATATTTATCAGTTGAATGAAATTTTTGTTCAGAGAAGTGGTCATTGAACGCTCGATTGAATCTAGAGAGTCATTTAAGCATATCTGTTTCTTAAGATACGTATCATAAAATTACGTTATATGACTGTACAAATTTTACATAAAGTGATATAAAATGACATGTAACAACGTAACCATAAAACGTGAAATTTCCACTTTCTAGAAGTGTTTAGCACATTACCTATGTTGCCGTATTTGAAGCAGGTTAACGCAAGCTCGTTAACCGAGTAATCACTCTTTAATAGAAACCCAGGACAAAGTTCAAGTATTTCCTCGTCTCCGTGGCATCCAGTGTTCAAATTAGAAATTTTAGGAAGTTGACTTGGGTTGCTTGTATTATACCAATTCTTATAATATGTTCCTCCAAATCTGGAATAAAGAATGTTCACGTATCAACATAACTTTGCTTTAAATGGGCACAGGCCAACTCGGGTCACTTTTGAAAAAAAACATAACTTATTCTGATAACTGCAAGCTGTTTCAAACTTTTTTCCTTGACATGTCAAAGTCAAACATTCAGTATCAGGCATAATTTCAGTTTCAAAGTCAAACCGGCAATCAAAAATAAACATGCATGAAACAATTTGCTGATCACTTATAAATTCAATATAACAATCTGGCACATAGTAAATATTTACAAGTTCTCCAAGAAAATCGCCTGGCCAGTGTTTGTTATGTTTATCGAAATAATATGACGTGAATATCGATGATGTCATAAATTTGGAAATTATTTATAAATTTTGATGTCACTTCATTAAGTTGGTGCTTAAAACTTAACTATTCGCTATCTAATCTGTTCGTAATTGAAACGAATAAAATAACAAATAGACTTGTCAGGATATTAGATAAAATTGTTGGATTAAAGGCTGTAATATAAAAAAACACATTTAATTAAAACCGAAAGTAAATTTTGCGTTCTGTCCAACCAATACGAGACCTGAGCCCGTCTCTGCGTGGAGCGCTTGTCAAGCCGGTATCCAAACGGTGTACATACTTTCGACTAGATATCTACTCGAGCATTATATCCTCATGTCCAGCGTATTAGCTGCTCGTTTAAAAGACATTTATTTGTAATAAAACTATTACCAAGATGCACAGTGTGTTGTTTCCCAAGTTTTATTTTAATTCTATATAATGCACAATTATCCAAACGGTTTGACAAGCGCTCCACGCAGAGCCGGGCTCAGGTCTCGTATTGGTTGGACAGAACGCAAAATTTACTTTCGGTTTTAATTAAATGTGGTTTTTTATATTACAATGAGATGTATAAATGTTTATTCTGATTGCGTCTAGGAGATAATTCTATTTTCTATTGATTTACCACGGAAAAGTCACGGTAAGGTTCATTTAATAATGATTTATAAAGGTTTTATTATACAAGGGTTATCGTGTTTACATTTTGGAGTCTGCAATCTTTACTTTATTGAGACTTGATGGTATACGGTATTTTTTTCATATACGTAAAAATTGTTTGAAAACCATTTTTATCGTTGTAACAGATGTACAATTCGTGTTTAAATATTAAAATAGTTTTGGTAGAGTGTTTACAGGGGCGTATCACGTTGGGGGGCAGGATCTGACCCCCAAGCGTCTGTGATACAGTCTATTCTTTTCAGCATTTGCAAAATTGATTAAATTGATTTTTGATTAATATATACTATTATTAATAAGACAAACTAGAGTAAAGAACGCGCGAAAAATTAAGGATGATAATTTTGTTTTTGGTTTAGTCTGCAGAAAGAGAAATTAAATAATTGTAAGAATATTATACCATACAGATATAGTTGCACATGCATATTTTGATGCGGGCTCTGTTATTATTTAGATTTAATTACACACTGTAAGTTATTTAATATACGCTTGAATGTTTTCTTCGTGCAATTATTATTCTCTCCGACTAGTTGTATATAAACTAATTTAACACATGTATATATTAGATTTTGTAAATATGGGTACAAATGTGTAGGTATGCTGTTATACCATGTGGCAAGTAGAAACATGCATCATAACTCTATACTGATCCTTGCGTTTATTACATTCATTTATATGAAAATTGTGAATATAGGCTATATGTTTTGTATATATCTGATGTCAATTTCAATGCTTGATTTTCTTCTCTTTTTTTAAGTTAAATGTTGTTCATATATTAACTGTTATACTGTTTTCCATGTTTTAACTTATACAATGATTGCTAACATATCGAATATAATTTAGACAATTTTGATATTATCATTTAAGTTAAATTCAAAAATAACTGGTGCTGAAAACTTAATTCTGAACAATAATCATTTAATATTGGATTTTTTCTTCTTTTTTCACTAGGTTAATCATACAGCTACTCACAATTTTGAAATATTATCTTCATTTTATTGTTTGTAAGTAACATTGATGTGATATTTTGATAGGCACACATATTGTAGCGATTGCGTATGTTGCTAACCTTTTTTTATTGTTCATTGTGAAGAAAATAGTACTAGATATAAGTAAATAAACATGTTAAACAATGTGTGGAGATATTCATCCAAATCCGGGACCAGATCATTCTCAATCTTTCTCGAGCTCAGTCTCATCAGAATCTTTTCTTGATAACACTCTCCATGATTTTTTTTTAAATGTTCAAAATATCTTACAGTTGTTCACTATAATGTCCAAAGCATATTTCCTAAGCTTGACATCCTTTATGCTGAATTAAGTAATCTCGATATTCTTTGCTTTTCCACCGAAACATGCAAGGTGACTCAGTGTCTACAGTGGATCTCTTGTTTCTGGATTCTCCATGAACCAATCTAGAAAAGATCGCACCAACGATATCATGGTGGAGTTCTGATTTATGTCAAAAATCTCATCACATATGTACGTAGGAACCGACCTTGAGCTAAATATCTAGAATGCATATGCTCGAACTTAGATTGTCTAGCGCTAAGGAAGTTTGATTTTGCGTTTTCTATCGGCCCCAGTCATAATATTTTTATTCTCTTATTGAAGATTCATTGGCATTAGCCATAGATACTGGCATTTCAGATGTGAATTTAACAGGTGATTTCAATTTGAACATTGACTCTCAGACTTCTTCCCGAAAAGTACAACACTATGTCAACAATATGGACTTACCCAAATCATTGATGAAACACACACACTTTACAGAAAATTCTTCGTCACTAATTGACCTGTTCTTTACTAACAACATAGACAATGGTTAATAAAGGCTGGGGTTGGTGATCCGTTTTCTGCAGCAACATGTCAGGTATTCACTGCCCAATCTTGCTGTTTTTCCTACATAAAACCCAAAGCTAAGTCTTTGATAGACTGTGTGGCTTTATGGAAAGGCAACTATGACTTGCTGCGTAGCAAGATGAATCTAGTTTAAATGGACGAATTTTTCAAGATGATGATATTGACACCTTTGTTGAGAATATTACAAACCTATCATAAACATATCAAAACTTTGTATTCCAAAAAAAAAATGTAAAAAAATCAAGCCTAATGACCCTCCGTGGATGAACAATCAAATAAAAAACAAAAATAAGACAACGTAAGCGCGCCTACAGAAAAGCAAAAAATTTCTCAAAGTCAAATCATTTGGTTAAAATTCGGAAACTCAGAAAATGAAGCGTTCAGCTAGTCAAAGACAGCAAATCTCGTTACTTTCTTTCATTGTCTGACAATCTTAAATCAATTCCATATCATCAAAGATTGGTGAAATCCTCAAATCCTTATATCTATTCAACAAAAAAAAGGTTATTTCCTTCTCTTATTGATCCAATTACTAATTCCATTGTATCTGAAGGAACCTGAAAAGGCTAATCTACTAAAAACACTTTTTTCAAGAACCAGACAATGGTTGACGACTCTAGCAGGGATCCCCCCAGACCCTCAGACATAGACAAATCAACAGACCTTGGAAACGATTTATATATCTCCTTCTGAAAATTGAGGATGTACTGAAATTTTTAAAACCGATTAAAGCATCTGACCTGACACTATCAGTTATCGAGTTTTTATGAGGGCCTACCAACAATTTTCTCATCCCTTTCACCAGCTCTTTAACTTCTCACTACGATCCAAGAAAATGCCGAACATCCTGGAAGTTGTCAATGTCTGTGCTGTATATAAGAAAGGGATATCCTGCTGTTTAAAACAATTATAGACCTATATCTTTACTCAACACGTATTGAAAAAAGTATTTGAACGAGTAGTCTTTAAACATATCTTTAACTTTTTACAGAAGACATTTCATTCTTCACTCCATCTCAGTCGGGATTTTTTGCCAGGTGACTCAACTGTAAACAAACTTGCGTATTCTTTACAATAATTTTTGCAAGGCTTTAGATGATGGCCTGAGGTGAGGGTCGTATTTTTGATATGAGTAAAGCATTTGCATAAGTTTGGCACCAAGGTTTGTTAGTGAAACTTCATGAATCTGGAATCGTGGAAATGTACACCCAATGGCTTTCGATTATCTTAACAAATCGTAGACAACAAGTTGTTCTTCCTGGGTACCATGTCGGACTGTGTTACAATTGCATCTGGAGTCCCCAAGGATCAAATACTGGGCCTTCTATTTCTTGTTTATATCAACGATATTGTTCAAGATATTGGTTCCACATCAATCTTTTTTGCAGATGACACTAGGCTCCATCTGATAGTTGGAAACACCTTCTGAAAACATGATACAATGGGCAGAATGACATACAAAAGATTTGTCTTTGGGTGATAAATGGCTAGTTAACTTAAATCCATCTAAATCCGAGTCAAATGATTATATCAAAAGAATTTAAAACCAATCACACACCTTTTCTCCATGTATGGCCAACAAATCCTCAAGTTTCTGATCACAAAATCTAGGAGTTTTTTTTCTGATTGATTGCTTCATTGCATTCCCATATCAATTATTATAAAAGAAAAGCATGGAATAGATAAACATAATGCGTAAACTTTGGTAAATTCAACTAGACCGAAATCTCTAGAAATGCAGATATACATCCTCATTCGTCCTATTATTGGAATATGCTGATATAATATGGGACAATTGTGTACATTCCTACGAAAAAACAAGAATTTAGACAAATTTCAAACGAAGGCAGCACGTATTGTGACGGGTGCAACAAAGCTGATATCGTTAGCTGATTTATACAATGATGTAAATTGGGAATCACTTTCTGACAGAAGAAGGAGCATAAGCTTTATTCAACTTACAAAATGAAAATTGTCTCACTCCATCCTATCTATCGTCTATTGTAACCAGATCTTGTTGGCCTGAATACTACAATATAACTTACGTAATTCTCAAAATATCGATACAATTCGTACAAGAACAACTCTATACTTTAACTCCTTTCTACCAACGGCACTCGTGAATGGAAATTCCTTACCGATTGAAACCCGTCAGCTACAGTCATTGAATTCTTTCAAAAGCTCTTTGAACGAAGACAAAACTAAAACTCCCCGACACTTCTATTATGGAGATAGACGGTCACAAATTCTTCATACCAGACTTAGAACGAAATGCAGCTCTCTAAATCACCACTTGTTCTTAAAAAATATAGTATTAAAATAATAAAGTCACAGCAATAACACGTATAATATCATTTTTTATTTTTCCAACGTTTCGGCAAATGTATGCCTTTTTCAAGGTAAATAAATAATAATAATATCAACGGACGTGACGTCGTAATTTTACAATTAACGTCACGCCCACTTTAGCGGAAAAACGAACAAATACGAACAATTCCAATTCATGATTAAAAGAGATAAGTGCACCAAACAAAGCATCAAAAATATAAAAATATAAAAAACGACACAAAATAGATATCGGTATTAATAAATACGAAATATTTCCTATAGGGTTTTAATTATAAAAAATGATAAATAGGAAAAAACGAATATCTATGTGGCGTAATTCTAGCATTTGTAGCGTGATTGGATATTTTATGAATTATTAATTGAGTACAACAACTTTGCTGTTCATTCCTTCTGGAAAATGAGTTTTTGCTTATGAATCCAAAATGTTTCTTTGCACAAACGATCTAAAGTATTGTAAAACAACATCTATGGGCATAAATGAAAAGTCGGTAAAAATTATGATCGTCCTTATTAAATGATTTGCAACATTAGTTGAGAATGCAGGATTACAAAATTGCATATATCAAATTTATGGCTATTCATTCGTTTAGACACAGGTTTTTGGTTTTTGACCAACATACTGCATGCTACATTTTTTTACATGTTATCAAATATATACAATTCTTGGTTTGACAGTAGTATGTTGCGTTAAGTCAAATATCTCTCCTGTATTTGAACTGTAAAATGAACCGTACCACTATTAATACGAACACAATGAGAACAGCGTTTTCTACAACAACCTCCAGAATGTGATGTAAAGTCAACTGTCAGTATCAAATCTAGATTCTAACTAAAAAGTCTTGTAAGTTTCTTGGAACGTTTATAGGCAATTATGGGTGTGTAGTTATTGTGAATATTTTTAACACCTTTTCGTTTTTTTGACAGATTTAGTAGGTCCCAATATTTTATGAATAGTATTTTCCAATATTAGGTAATTGGACGGATTATATGTCACAATAAATGAAGAACGATTTTTTTTTCTTTATCTTGTGGCCGTAAGGCATCCTCTTTTGTGACATCTGTGACACGTTGAAGAAACGCTGAATCTATAACCGTCTCAGGGAAATTTCTACTTATGAAAGAATTCTCGTAGGTTGCTTCAGTGAAGTAGAAACACGTCGTCGTCGGATTAATTCTCCGTAACGCTTATGCCTGGACTGTGGGTATTTCCGTCTTTACACCGTTTTGGATGACAGGATGTAAATCAAGTATTGGTGGTTGTTTGTTTCCTTTTACATAAACATTAGTTTTGAAGTTCGTACGATTTTCCTTTTGCATACTTAACACAAAAAGAAACGAAACAAGATTTTGCAGATATGTGTGGTTGATTTAATGCTTGGGTGAAAACATTGTTGATTTTGTCAATAAATGTGTTTAAGTTCTTCAAGAGAATGATCCCCAAAGCATAAAAATATCGTCTAGAAAACGAAGCCACAATGACGGTTTAAGCTGACTATCTTTCAAAAACTCCTCTTCGAATTTCCCCATTAAAAAGTGCTGCGTACGCGGGGGCGACTGGGCTTCCATAGCCGCGGCTACCCATTTTCTGAAGAAAATAGTCATCCCCGAAACTTGAAGTAGTTATTTTTCAAGAAATAAGTTTTTCAAAAGTTTAACAATTCATCTGACGAAAGACTGCTGTTATTATTTCCTTGTCTTACATAATACAAACACGCATCAGTTCCATCCGTTATGTGGTATATTAGTATAAAGTGAAGAGACATCTAGTGTTACCAAATATGTGTTTTGCTTTGTTAGTTTAACATTACGTAATTTTTTGATGAAAATCTGTGGTGTCTTTTACATATGATTGGCAATCTAAGCATATGTGGTTTAAGTATAAAGTCGAGATACTTTGAAATATTTTCTGTCGGTGAGTTACATCCTGACACAATAGGTCTACCAATATACTTTAATGGCAGTGTGAAGTCTGGAGATTTGTGTGTTTTAGGTAAGATATAAAAACACGGTGTACGTATGTTCGTTGGAAATACATCAAATTCATCTGAAATACAGTCGTTTGTTTCTTTAATCTTATCAATGCATTCCGATATGTTACATTTAATAATTTCTGTAGGATCTTCCGTACATTTTAAAAACTATTTTTTAAAAAATATAGTATCATCTCCTTTATGTAGTTGTTGCCTAATTGAAGACAACCACCACTTCTTCTTTACTTGCACGAATTATACACAAATAAGAAATGCACTTTTTCAAACTTTGACTCCAATATGTTCCATTGATCTTCGAACCCTTCTATATGGAGATCCGTCAAATGATTATCAAACAAACACATGGATATTAGATGCCGTATTTGAATTTATAAATAGCAGCGGACGTTTCCACTAGATGTATTTTATACTACCAACATTTAATATACTGCAATATCTCCAATTTGACCTCTGTTCGTTAGTCTGGTCTTTCCAATATTTTTTTGTCTTCTTTTGATATATATATTTAATATACACATAATGTTTTTTCTGGTTAGCTTAATATAGTTAATTTCTAGACATTTGCTAAATTTGCTTTAAGTGCCAGTCTAAATAAAAAAAAAACTTATTTTTGTCTGTTTTCTTTTGCTTAGTACTCATCTGAAAATTGTCTTATTAAGTTGCATTCCTAATTTCTTTTTCCTTTTTTTTTTCATTGTTCATGTTTAAACTAAATCTTGCAATATTCTTACTTAATAATTTAAATGAAATAGCTATCCTGCCATATATGTTTGTGTAAATATCATTTGTTATCTAGGGAGAGGAACTATATAAGTTTTCTTTCGTTCTAATCCCTTTCAATTTATGTAACAATTATTCACATATAAAATGAAACATATGTAAAATATTGAAATAAATATGTTTAAACTAAATGTATTTCAATGCCATATTATTTCATCCGTTCAGTCTAAACATTCTGTTATGTATCTTTGTGCAAATGTTAAAACATTTCAGAGTCATGATTTATGTGATAATGTTCCAATGTTTAGGTTAACTAGAAGAGCAAATGTTCAGTCACTAGGACCTTAATTATCTTTACGAATAACATACTGCTATATAACTGTTATTTTTGATAAATTTATTTGTTACATGTTGTTAAATATGTCCATGGTAAAATAGTTGATTTTGAAATGCTATATTCAGGTTACTCAAATACAAAAGATCTTACTCTAGACCAAAACGTTGTCTGCATGCAACTTTTGTATCATTCCATGTCCACATGTGTGGGGATATAGCCCTCCACTCTTCTATAAACATTTCAAGGTACCCGCTGAGATGCCAATTACGATACTCTCTGAATTCAGGTTGACCCAGAATCAGGCGTATACCTACAGGAAATAAATCAATAAATCTGGTAAGACTAAATTCACACTTTATAAATATATAATAATACATGTGGTACCAGATATAGGCCACGGCATTTTCAAAAATCAGTCCATGATGTTTACAAAAGACACTAACCCTAGGTTAAAAATGTTGACGTATATAGTTCATGTACTCTGTGTTGTAACAATTGGAAGCATGGAGGAGCACGTGATCTGTTAACAGTACATGATTGGTTAATCAACGTTATATCAATATTCAATATTAATCAATATGTGAACTATGAAGACTTTGTGATAAATGGTTAATAATGAGCGCAAATTATTCTGACATTTAAGGCTCCTGAGACCTTTGACCTAGTGACCCCAAAATCAACAGGGGTCATCTACTAGTTATATCAAATTAACAAAAAAAGCAAAATATGCTTTTAAAGCTTTGTGACAAGGACTTCCATTAAAAGATATGGAACAGATGGTCTTTTACGAATTCCCATTGCAACCACGACGGACTTGAAAAGCATTGAGATAATAGTTGCAAAAAAGAATGTGGAAATATATTCATTATCAAGAAAATAAATATTATATAATTAAAAAGAACAACAATAGAAAAACAACGAAAACATTTCACACTATTTGTCACTTCACACAAAATTAATTCAAAACTTGATAAAGATAGGCGGGAATCTTTGATCCTAACGTGTACGTTAATAAACTCTTAACATTTATACATGTGTACACTCGTAATTTTGATATTGAATATTTACATGTTTTATAAAAACAAATAAATGAGAATTTGCTTTACATATAAGCAATAACAAACGTTAAGAAGTAACATGGATGGATAGATAGATGGATCACAAACCTCCGCATTTAAAGCCTGTCGGTGTCCAGTTTCCCAAAGATTCATCACAAATTATCGTCTCACTCCCCTTTCCCGGAATATTGTATAAGGGTGCGTTGCACGTATACTTCCGCACGGATCCGGACCCGGTTACTGTAGCCCCTGGAACTTCAAGCGGGTCACCACAGGCTTGAAATTCATTTATGTTTGAGAATAACTATAAAACCTTTGCTGTTTATATATTATGAAGATTATTTTTTTTAATTTATGAAACATTTAAACACATTTCTGCTAAATATACAAATAATGATTTTAATAATAACTTTATAAAATCATCATCACTTCAATTGTACGATGCAGAGTGAAAATCAAATCCTGTAAAGATTTTGGTATTCATGTATATGCATTACTTTACTTATCGTGTTACGATAAGCTGTACGTGTCTTTTTAACTTGGTAGAGCATGTAATATGTTCGAGAACTTAGCATTTCATACCCCCCCATTTGACAATTAATAAAGTAGCTATAGATCTATCATAACGTCCATATTTAACGTACCAAAAACACAAGAGAAACTATTCGTTGGTTCCCAGCCTGACTGTGTACACGTAATGGTGTTACTAGAGGCAGATGAAGGACGGTAACCAGCTTTACACGTATACATAACGCTGGACTTGCTACCATTTTTCTGAGCATTGTCAACTTCAGGAGGTTCACCGCAATCTACAACATACAATCGAAATAATGGAAGTACTGTTATAATGATTGTTAATGAAATGTCGCATGTATTAGACATACAATGTTCATATATAAGTTTTTTTTGCACATTTGAATGAAAAGCAGTTCTTTCTTCACCATGTTTTGAACTTTCATCTGACTAAGAGTTAAAACTTTCGTTTAATTTCTTATCAACCTGATATTACGGTTGCACACACGTGACAGGTGTTGTGCACTTTTTCTATCTCCTGAAAAACGAGATAGTACCCCGATGGGAACAAGATATTTATGCCAAGGAAACGAGCGCATTATGTAGTGAGATCGAGATATAACCTCGTTTCAAACATATAAAGAGAAACACAAGTGCCACCTACATGTCTGTTCTTTATCAGACAACATTTCAGCAGTATCTCACGAATTCTGTCAATGAGTGCATGGTTGCTTGCACAAAGAACAAAGGCTTGAGAATTGAGTACCGCTCAAGCCGGTGCTAGGGGGCGTGAGGGATGTTGAACTGATTCATTATCTCTCATGTACAGACTCAATCAAACCGAGTCTGCAATTCTTATGTAATTTTGTTGTGATTAATGCTTCCGAGGGATCACTTTGTTTCCAGAATTTTGCCCGCCTTCAGGTAGTTTGCACCAAAGTAGTGAGCAGTCCGAAGCTTTGATTTCTCCGCCACTTAATATGATTTGTTTCTTCAGATCAGGGGCATGTTTTTCCCGATGCAGCAGAAAACACGTAAGTAGTATAAAAGTCTACTTTATTTGTTTATGATACTGATCGGTAAGTACTGAAGCATTTTGTACAAATATTTATGTCTGTCAACAGGCTTTTAGTTATGAGATCTACTCCAATTATCAGTTTGTGTCTCTTTGTTAATGTAATTTCTATAGACGATTTACAGACCGACATGAAAGACAAACCTACATTTTAATTATTTACAACGGTATTTTGTGATACAAAAAAAACTTTGTTTAATTGTATTATAACCAAGTCTCCATTCAAGGAAACAATTAAACGAAGCGCTAAAATGGTCCATGAGCGCAATGAATTGGTCTTTAAATGAATTATTATCTGACACAACTTTCACAATAAAAGAAAGAAAAGATTCCAAATATAATCATACAGCAAATATAGTTTATTGTTGTGTAATTCTCTTTCATTTATAAAATCGATAAAACATGTCACTTTGCCTAATATAATTATTCAACCACGACATTGTATTATTCAATGCTTGACATAAACATCATGTATCGCTTAGTTTCCACGTTCTGGGTAAATGAATATCATCAAATAGTAAAACTAAACTGGTTTCAATTGTTTTAATCGATTTATCATTTCAAAATCAGGATCCGGACACCAAGTCGAACTGTTTGCAATTTCTGATATTCAAAGTTAAGCATGTTTGTGTGTTGCTTTTTTCTGTTGTAACTAAGCCAAATATTTTGTATCAAACGAGCCCAATCATAAGAAGTGATTAACTTTTATATGTCTTAAAATATTTATATAATCATGGTATTAAGCAGATTAACTAAATGTCTGCTGACAAAATACGACTAACATTCTTACCAGGTTCACATTGTTTTTGTGTATCGTTATATGTCCTGTATGGTTCACACTGACACACACCTTGATCTGAGCATTTTCCGTCTATCTCAGAACAAAGCCCGTTGTCGCTGCACTTCTGACCAAAAATGGCTAAAATAAAAAAATATGTGATACAATTATGGTAAATGAAGATGGTGATTAAGCATAGTTACGCATTCAAATTAATTGTTTTTTTAAAGAAACAAGAAAGAAAATTTAAAAAAGAAAGAGAAAAAAGAAACATCAACAAATAAGTATCAGTGTTGCAAAATATGCATGTTAATAAATTTTAAAATTGATGCGAACAATGTAACCTCTTATGTCTTTTATACAATGAAAAATAACACGATGATTTTTCATTTATTCTATAAAATTATTTTAAGTTAATACATGTAAAAACTAAATATAACTTTGCTGTGTTAAAAATATCAAATTTGTCAGAATGAAAAGTGTATTGTCAAGTCACTATCAAATATGTCGGTATTTGAGATAACTCAAATTAAGGTGGCGTCTGTGGTCGAGTGTTTAAGGCCGTTAACTTCAAACCACTTGCCCCTCACCGCTGTGGGTTCGTATCCCGACAAGGAAATTGGATTCGTTCATATGAGGAAGCTAACGTACAGAACGTCGGTGGTTGTACCCAGGCGCCCTCTCGTGCGGAAGGGCATCTGCTGTTTTCCGTCGCCATATGACCTATACTGTGTCGGTGTGACTTAAACCCCAGTCATACAACCAAAATTCAAACAAACTCAAATGAATATGTCATAGTTTTAATGAAATATATAAAAAGTGATGATATATACGTGTACACGTAGGTGTGATATCCTTATCCCACTGTTTATTAGGTAAACACACTGCAGTCCCTCCACCAGTTGTACCCTTACCGCACACGTAAGTGTTGACTGACCCCACTGTCCTACCATTGGATACACCCCATCGAGGCAGTGGACATACATCTCCTGGCGATTGTTATAAAATATGACAATGTAATAAAAATGTAAATAAATGCAATTGCTAAGAGGGCTCTACAAATTACCTTTGTTTCCCGTTATATTTAGAAACAGTCGTATTGACGGACTGTTAAACTGTCTATCATTATTTCTGTTGAATTTCATCCACAACGGCTTCTGATAATAAACATTCTAAAGATTTCACCAAAACAGAAAATATCTGTGAAAATGCCATTTCTGGAATATTGAAAATTTTGGTATATAGCGCTATAAATATTATAGATTGTTTATTTTTGTATTGATTAAGGTTATTTATTTAGCTCTGGGTGTTGTGATATTATGCTGTTTATGTACATCTGCAGTTCACTGAATGTACATCTGCAGTTCACTGACTTTATTAAACATCTTATATTTGCTATATCTGAAATCCTGTAATATGAAATACAACATTTACCCTAGAGCCATTTAAGTTAATCTCAAACACTATTGTTTGTAATATATATACTTAATGATATACAAAGTCATTTGTAAATAAATGTCAAACTTGCGATGTAACAGTATCAGTTTTTTATTCCAAAAAAACAATGATAGACACGTATTTCTAACCCTCTCTGTCTCATGTTTAAAAAACGATCACGAAAACAAACATTACTTTTCCTGAAAACATTGAAAAGAATTTAATGAAATAGCACTTACTGAAAGTCTGAATGCACGTGTAAGAACACTCTGCAGATCCACCAAGCAGCGTTACCGGGATACAAGACTCGGACTCTGCACAAGGACGACTGTAGCAATTCTTATCCAGCTTAAATATCGAAATATGTGGGGTTTTTTTTCTTACATTTTTTTCTTGAAACGGTATCTTTATAGATTAAATATGGGACTGATAGGAATGTCTGAACATATTCTTTTTTAAAAAGGAGAAAAAAACCACAGGAAAATCAAGACAGATAAAATGCTAAACTCAAAAATAATTTAAGGTACATGTAGAAAACTTTTAACGAAACTTGACGCTCACTTGGAAGACTGGAATTGTCAACTGTGTTGCCTCATTAAATAAAGGGGACGTCAAAACTAATGTAAGACAATTATTTACTATCTACAAACTGAACTAAATGTTATTTTATAAGTCTAGCTCTTGTTATAGTTTTGGCAATTTGGGTTATTTGCTTTTGTTGTAAAACACGAAATTCATAACTTAATTATAGATATATTTCTACTTACATACATCTATAAGCACTAACCATTGCTTAATAATATGTGTGAATAATTATAAATACATAGGATGGCTATGATAGTCTGTCAAATATGGAATTTGAAAATAACCACATGAACCATAAACAGAGTTCATAATTATGATATTTTCGTTCGGATGTTCAGGGATACATAACCAAGCCGGACGTGCATTTCATGTCGTTAAAAAACTATTTCAAAATTTTCCTCAACAAAAACTACATTGATATGAACATTTTCTTGATATTACTCATATTTTATATAATATAGTAGCAATAAAATATTATTAAACTAAAGGAAAAAACAGAAACAACAATCCCTACAGAAATAAAACAATGAATGGCACACAGAATATAAAACTACACAAAAAATTCTTACACTAGAAGGCCACCACTTAAATTCTGAGTACAAAAGGTTTTCTCCGGTTCTTGTCTGTGTATCCGTTCTCGTTCCAGTGTTAAGTTCACACATGCGACTTTGTGTGTCAAACGTGATTGAGTTGCATCTTTTTTGCCGGACACAAAGTTTCGCACAGTGTTCAAAATGTAGTGTTTTCGCTGTCCAAAATTGTGTTTCCTGAAGTCCTATCCTGTGAACTGTCTTATCCTCTATATTAAGACATGGTTCCTCTTGTGAACTTATGATAATAAACTGATATAGCAGAAATACCGAAGAAAGAAAAATGTATAGAGTATCTTCCATTTTTAGATCATTTCATGATAAAGTCTTCAAAGATCAAAACAAAAATTATTTGTTGATTTTAAATAAAAAAACCTGTGTTCCATAACAGTGATCAGGAGCATTTAAGTACATATTACAGACACCAACAAACCTGTCAGTTATTCTGATGTAACATACAAGTTAGGCCGTTCAAACTATCCTGCTGATTCCTGTCCTGATGACAGTTTGTTTTGTTTGGTTTTACGGCGCACCAACACAATTTAGGTCATATAGCGACGAAACAGGAAATATGATTTTGGCTCACCTCGGGTCTTAAAAACTTTCAGCAACACCAGGGATCAGACCTACCTTCCTTGACGCATCTTACAATCACGTATGGATAAAAGGTGGTTGCAATTCTGATGCCTCAACACTTAAAGGCAACATTTCAGCCACACGTGGGTCCTGACGATAGATATATCGAATGAACAAAACTTTAGGCAACAGTAACCTTACTAGCCGATGATGTGTCGACTCATACTGGGGTACTACAATATTTCTCAGAGGATAAAATATTCTTCAAGCTTTCTTCACATTTGTGCTGAACTATATTTTTTTTTTTATCAAACCTTTGATAGCTCATTTGTTTTCGCATTTTGTATAAATGTATATTTGAAAAAAGGGAAATGGAAATAATTTACATAAGAACTTAAGAGGAAGCGGTATAGAATCTTTCCCACAGTAGTATATTAGTCATTGTAATGTCTACGGATAGTAATAAAATCGTCACAATCCGCCGCTACAAGTTAACTTGATTCTACCCGCCCCGCCGTTATTCACTCCACGCCCCGTTGATATAACTGCCCGACACAGGCTTATGGATTGAACAACTTTACCTTAAACAAACATTCGTCTTAGTATAGGACATTTAAATGCCAAACTCTTCAAAGAAGTACTGCTTATTTTTTAGAGCATTTTCAGAGCTAAAAATATTCATCATGGTTAAGAATAAGGAAGGTTCAAAATATGTATTGACAGTGTAGATTCTGACAGTGTAGACCATTTTCTAATTGCACGGACATGCCGGTATATTCCGTAGCCATCGCACACATATGTGTTGATCGAAATAAAATTTACTGATCAATCACAAAGTATACAGCCTCATGTTTGTCTTTCCAGGGATCTCCCGCTGCGTACTGGTCCAAAATGACTTCGTAATTTAACTTATCAAATTGTCGCATATGATAATTATGTTTAACTGTGTACATATGTGTCTAGAAACTAAGAATTTTTATATTGACCTTGTTTATACTGAAACATAAAATATTTGTTTTAACAAAAAGTCGTGACTGAAAACGAGTTTTTGTGATGATAATAATAATTGTGATTTAAAACTTTTTCCATCTAAATTATTCAAATGCACATACATACCATATTGATTTGTGGTTGGTAGATTTGCTTCCCTAGAGAAATGGTGTTGTTTGTAATATGACAATGTAATTTACGCAAAAATATAAAATATCTAAAATGACAATAAATTATTTAAAAAGAGAGTCATTTTTTGAAAAAAAAAATCATCAACGAACTTAAACCCATTTTTCTGATTTTCGATTTTCGAATCGCATAACACACATTTTACAAGTTCTGTAATCTGGTTCCTCTTATGTCCGGAAATGCTAATTTAATTGTTAAGACCATCTATGTTTCGTTCAAACGTAAATGCAAAGAACAGAACAGAACAAAACAAACATTTTATTTGGCACAAACATATATACATGTTCATCGCCAATACGTTGTACATAACACTGTATGGCGGTAAAGAGTAACATAATTATGATAAAAGTATAACATAATTTATCACACAAACATATTTACAAGACATTCGAAAAGCTGTTAACAAATTATATATACAAACTTTAGTACAGGACATACTTTACATATGTAAATTATAATAGTACATACGTGTTTCATAAACAGGGTGATTGACATGTTTAATTGTATTTAAAGAATTAAGTTCATGTAGACAATTTTGAGAAAATAAAATAAATATTTTTATGACAATTATACAGTTAAGACAGTAAGTACATATTGTAACGACTTGGCGAATACATATTTACAAATGTGTACTTTATATAATTTGTATAAAAGTATATTATATCGTTAACGTTACTATAATTCATCGTTTAATTGTACATTTCCACGTTTGCAATTAGCCAGATAGATATATTTTGCAAGTTTGTTAAGAGTACATTTATTTTCACATTTCATCAATTTTTTTTTAATTTCTGTATACTTGGCCAAGAATTGTAAGAAGATCTCAGTAAAATTTTAGGGAGGGCAATTATATATGAAAAAAAAAACAGGCACGAATCTGAATTTTCCAAATCTTCTTAACTAGAGAGGATTACGGATGAAACATGATCAGTATTTGAGGTTTTCAGTGTATTAAATGTGAGGACGGAGCTGACAGGTCTGCGGCTCTATTTCTGTGCTTACCCATTTCCTAAAAATAGTTGTAAGGATCAAATTGTGAGCTCTAAGACTTTTAGTTCACCATCTAAAGTAACTATCTTTACAATGTCGCACACACAGAGGAGAACAAGTAAAGAAACAAGTTTACAATGTAAAGAACATTTAAGTTACATAACGCACATGAAAATCACATACACACATGAAAATCACATACAAAAAATGTAAATTCAATAAATATCCATCGGAAAGTTCTGTAACGTTTAATTGACAAAAAGAGTGGGGCAGTCTTTCCATATTTTAGCCAATCGTTGTATTATATCGTGAACATTTTCCGTTACATTACGGATCAGGTACCTCAATAATAGTCAATCTTTTTAAATATATAATATATAGCCAATTCAGTTCAGTTCTACTCAATAAGCATAATGACACTTAAAGAAATTCGCTTCTTAAATAATATCAAAATTTGGCATTAAAAGACAGAACAAAACTCAATATTCTTACAGATTTGATCAATAAATTGAATTTTAAAGACGCTTAAGGGCGTTTTCAAAAATACATATAGGCAAAATTAAAACTGTTCAATAGATTTTCTTAAAACAAATTGGCCTGTTTAAAGAATATGATTATAAAAACATTTTAATCGGAAAATAATTTGAATTCCTTTTTTTTTTCAAACAGAAAATCTTTAACTGAAATTTGCATTATGATCAACAATAAAATCCAGTAGTAAAAACAAGATTTTATATACATACATTTAAGTTATCTGCCCTTGAAATGACCTCAAATAAGTAGAAGTTCTGATTCAAGGGCAGGTAATTCAAAAGTGATAACGTTGACCTCAAAATCGTTTCATATGTATCTCTTATTATATACTAACAACATGCCAAGTTTAAAGAAATTCTATTGAACAGTTTAAATAAACTCCCACAAACGGCCTTTAAGTATCATTTACCATGCCCGGAGATTTATGATTTAAATGGTTTTTCATGTTGTTTCTTTGTTTGTTTGTTTCATTTTACGCCTTTTCCCAAGAGTATTTCAGTCATATAGGCGGGTAGTTTCCTAACCATCGTTCCTGGAGAGTTAAACCAGTACTAGACTACCTTCCTTCGTGCTAAACTACCAAAGCATCTCCCGGGGATCGAACCCACGCCAGAGAGGTAACTGGATTAGAAGTCATCGACTCTAACCCCTCGACCACTTAATAACAAGACGTATATATATATATTATTAACAAGGCATTTTATCGTCAATTTTATTAAAACACACGCCGTTCACTTTGACGTTTTGTAGAATATAATTTAGTTGAAATCATTGTACAAAAAAAAGGAATAGAGAGCAAACACGTTTATAGTTAGTCAATTTATCTCCAATAACTTGCCAAATATAAATTAAGAAAAGGCTTTTGTGAAATAACTACTACATCTTGATTAATGAATGTGTTACGTTATGTGTTGCGGTATCATATGCATCGGGCTGAATGACAAAAAAGCTTTGTTTGATAAAAATAAACTAATATGGCTGAATTCCTAAAGAATCCTCTTGTCGCAAAGTTAATTTAACGTGAATAATAAGTCTTTATTTTAAATATGCATTTAATATAGCTTTACGTACAGACAAGTATTGTTTATATCGCCATGTAAAGTTGTATAAAGTTAGTATACAAAGGAATACAAATATGTGGGCTTGAATGAACTACATACTGAAGGAATAATGAAGAATATAAAGAATTCAAACATATTCAAAATTCCATTGTTCAAATTTAAAATTCATGTGCATGATATTCTCTGGGTTTTAAACACTTTTTCGAAAATAAGGTTCAAGGTTTAACATAACACGCGATACATCGTAATGTAAAAATAACTGTTATAAAAACACACAATGATTTTCTGAAAATTAAACTGAATGGCACACTAAATGACACTACAATTACCCCCACATCGATTTACGTACATATTTAATTCTCGTAAAAAGAGCAAATCTGTCTAACATGCTTTTGTGTCATGGAAAGTATCGCCAGTTAACGTCAAGGTCCATAATTTATTTTCTAAAAATTAAACAAAAGTGTACCGGTTTGATTGATTTAAAAGCACACAGTAATCTATTTTTGGAAATACAATGTAGGCATAAGAATTCTATCTGAAAATGTAAATAAATTAATCAATGAAAAATGGTATTGTTCCCACTGTCAGTATAGCGAAATGAATATGAAGTGCTTTAACAAAAAAGGCAGATCCCTTAACCATTAGAATGTTCAGTAGAGACAAAGTTATGTAGATTGTAACACGTTTATTCCCCTTTTATAGAGACAGGACAGTATACAGTATTGAGAGGTTCATACACGACAAAGTAGGGCCGAAGAATGATAACCGGCCATTTAAATGAAAAACGGTCCCGCTATCATTTATTAAGGTCCGGTTATCACTTTCTTGCAAGTTTCTGGCGTGTACTTATGTCTTTTACAATCGTGTTGATTGATAAGATATTAAAATATTTTTCAATTATTTAAAAAAATTCAATTTGAAACTGTGTTTTTCAGCAAATTACACTAAAGTTTTGATAAGAAATTCAAGCAATTCAGTAATGAAGCTACTACACAAATATAATATTGCCTATTTAAATAAGAAATTATTTTCATTGACGCGTCTTTAGTTTAGTGCGACTTTACTCTATGTTTGTATAATGCAAATAGAGCCGCGTCAAAAATTATGCAATACCGTTATTTGTGGAGTCGTAAAAGCGACATTGTTGTGTGATACACGATATATGCACGGCTTAAAAAGGAATGGCTCACGTCCTATGAAATATAATTTGACGTCATTAAACCTAATTATGTCAGGAAAATTACTTATCCACTCAATTTGGTTCATCATATATTTTTATAAATTATATTTATATAATCTGGTTAGACCGGTAATACATATCAATTGTCATTCCGTGTAGCATAATAAAGAACGGTTTAATTATTGGCCTGCTTCATTCCTGCACAATTTAACTCGAACCATGCATTATTCTACAGAAACGCACTCAAAATTGATATACGTACATGTATATTTCCTAAGTAAACCTTAAGCTAACTAAAGTCGCTTTTTACAATTAAATTATGTCAACGTTTTCATTCTAAATAAATATCGGATACGGAATCGGACGAATATAGCCTAGTGTATTTTAGCTTTTATGGATGTGTTACATTCATTTACACGCTTAACAAATTGCTAAAAGTACTCGATACAAAATATTCGATGACCGAATAAGTTTGGAATGAAAATAGATTCTTATATTGTCAAAAGTCCAAGTAGACACAATACCAGTGTCTAATAATAAAAACCAGATTTCCAAGCAATCAAACCTTTGAGTATTCTGAATGTGTATTGTTCGTCAACACATGATTAAAATTGTAATAGCGAATCTTTTAATTATTATCCGGTTTCTGTCGTTTACAAAGGGATTCATATTCAGAATCGAGTGTTGCAGGTAAAGCAAAACCTCTCTTTTTTGTCTGAACTTCTTTGTTTGCTTCAGCCTCTATTGTTGTCACGTACTCTGACGATTCTGTACTTATATCTCGGCTTAAGGTTGTACTTTTCATTTCTGTTACATCGCCTTTGGTTACGTTGGTAATACCGTTCCATTCCACTATCCCTTCATTTGACGAGTCTCTGGTATTTTCATCTGCGATTTCTTCATTGATGATGTCGTTTGTTTTATTTAAGTCTGCTATCTCAACATCGGCTGAACGTTCCATACTCTTCACTTCTATACTGGAGATAATGCCCGTGGTAGTGGGCGCTATTATTTCACCATCTGCCTGACCAATTTTTGTTTTCGCAGTATCAAAGATGCCAGCATTGGTGTCAGCGATGAGACTCTTTTGCTCTTCTTTTTCAAAACTAATCAAGCCGCATACAGTTTGAAGTCCCGACGTATTATCACATTCGATCTCATTTTCTGTTGACAATTCAAAACCAGTTGTACTCTTTACATCTCTGTTTTCATTTGAACTGTTTTCTTCCTCCACCTTTTCTTCGCGTGATATATGTTCATGACTTTGCTCTTCAACTTTTGGAGTTACCGGCACAATCTGATTATACATGTTTCCAGTTGGGTCGTCACCATCTTTTATTTTTATTGTTACCCCTCCGTCCTGAGTTGTAAAATTGTTTCCGTGGTTTGCTTCGTTATATTCTTCAATATCGACAGGCACAGTTAAACTTTTACCTTGTTTGTTTAAGTAAGCCTCATAATGGTGAAATACCCACAGCCGTCGGTTATCAAGTGTGTGCCATTTACCGTCTTTTTTTGTTATGGTTATTTTTGGAATGTCAGATAATTGGCACCTACCATTACAAAGTTGGTCTAAAGTTTCTCCGATTGGTATTCCGCCTGCATAATGATTCCTTCTTCCCCATCGTCCGATCTTCTTCTTACGAAATCTATACATGATCGTGTCATGACTGTAGAAAATATTTGATGGTTTTATATCCATGCCCAATTCTGTTATATTTAGTATTGAAACATATTCTTCCTTTTTCAACAGATTTATATATGCTGATATGATATTCCCGAATGATTTAATATGCACTTAAATGTGCTCTCTTATAAAAGTTTCTTAACCTTGCAGATTTTCCGAAATATTATATATATATTTCAAATATTCATATTACGCAACAAATCACGTGACAGACGTGACGTTTTATTGCTGTTGTCCGAAAATAATATTAGTGACGATAATAAACTTTATTTCTTAAAACATAATATCATTTCTTTTCTCTCAGATAAAAAACCTGCAATATCCGAGAAACTATAAATAGATATTTACACTCTTTTTTGCGGTTTACCTGGAGTAGTATTAATAGATTATATACAAAAAGTGCTTTTGACATTTTTCGAAAATATGAAAAACTTATTTAGGTTATGTATTTTTTAATCATTATTTCTTAAATCTTAATCTTTTAAATACAAAAAAACCCCAGACATACACGTTAATTGTCGTGTGCCCGTAAAAACCAAGGCATGAGTTTATAACGTTTCTAAATTAAATAAAAGTAAAGATAAATGACGAGTGTATTTAACTTTACGATTAAAGCAAGAATGTACTCAAAATAATGAAATATATTTTGAAAATAAATTGGTCTATAATGGAAGGTCTGTTATACAATAAATAATTATGTTGATAGTATTTTATATCATATGTGACAACAATTATATGAGCCGCGCCACGACAAAAACCAACAAAATGGGTTTGCGACCAGCATGGATCCAGACTAGGCTGCGCATCCGCGCAGTCTGATCGGGATCCATGATGTTCGCTTACAAACCCTATAACAAGTAGAGAAACTGATAGCCTACGCATTATGTTGGTTGTGTCGTGACGCGGCTCATATATGGATGTTGTTGGTATATGTCGGATACATGATCCGATTTTAAATATCTTTATGTTATAGCAGATAATAAATTGGTTAAGAACAATATATTTATGTTGTTCATACAACTTTTTTCTTACTAAATCAATTAGAACACTATCAACATTTTTTTTCAAGACATATTTTATTTGCATATCCCAGTTGCACATTTCTTGTATTTGTATCAATATTTGAAATGCTTTAAATCTACCTGTTTCACTTTAAAGAAAACGTATGTGACATCCACAGTTTTTTTTAGAAGCAAGCTGGTTTCAGTCAAGTTGTAATCATATTACAAAATGATTTTAAAAAATTTGCCATGAAAAGTAAATATGACAACTAAAATCAATTACCAAATACAATAAGTAACAAAAGCTAAACCTGTCACCGTTTCCTTTTAAAATGTAACGCCATTGACGACAAATAAAATATCGCCCAAATAGGTTTTCAGTGATTAGATAGATCTATTATATAGGCTTTGTGACACTTTGATTACAGGACAATGTACCAAA